ACGTCCAATTTATGTTAACCGGACATTGACAAACGGTCCTAACTAGGACGACCGAAGACGAAATTGAACTCGCGAAGTGGTGTTTTGTCCTCCATCCATGGTTTAGCCAATAGTATAATGAAAAAGAGACTTGAACTACTACTTATTTTCTCAACACTTGAACAAGAATCGCAAAGATTATGTTTTCAGATAACTTTATTTTTATTTTTTTATACAAATCCAATTGATAAAATAGAACAGAAAAAAATATGTGACTAAAATATAAAATTGTTATACAAAACATAAATAGCAAGAGTGCAGATATGGTTACACTGTGGTAATGGCAGTGAAAAGACAACATTGTGATATGATAAATTGACTTAGAACATGATGCAGTATCACAGCGTATCTAATAAGAGTAAAAAAGAAGAAAGATAAAGATAGTGTTGGAAAAACCAATAAAAAAAACGAAGGAGGTTGAAATACAAGGAAATAAAAAGATTTACAAAAAATTTTGTTATCAAAAGTGTTTAATTAAACTAAAACTATTTCTTGTATCGATTCATTGTCTGTTTGTATGCATGTATGTATGTATGTAAATATGTAGCACGTGTTCCAGTTACATAACGTAATTGACTATGGTCAGGTGCTTGTACGATTTTATATATATTACATAGGTATATATGTGCGTATTTTCCCGTTCCAAACGCCATTCAATTCAGTGAAATTAGTGGCATCCCTTCTTAGATGGTGCCTGGTGCTGGTTCCAAGTTCACTGAGGCAGCTGATTGCACATGTCCGGGCAGAGGTGCCACATGTACAGCGCCACGGGTTTTGGCGACATAGGTGCCCTCTGCAGCCACAACAGCTGGAGCAGCCACCACCGCTGGGCTGGTGATGATCTGTACTGGCGATGGTGCGGCAACGACAGCTGGCACGGCAGAGGCATGTACAGCAATAGAGCCAGGTGGAGAGGCCAAAACGACGCCATTGATGGATGTGACCACGCCTGGAATGATCGAGCAGTGAGCAGCGCCAAGGGCCAAAACGAACAAGACTACGGAAACGGCGAACTGGAAGGAGAAAAGGGGTAAACGATTCATTAGCAAAAGCTAGTTAGAAATTTATGTACAAGAGTGGTTGAAGTTCCTTCCTCATTTAGACAAGTTTTTCTTCGCAAAATTTACGATATAAGTAAAATATAGGAGATTGCGTTGACAATATAGTAATGAATAATTTTCATTACTACATTGTTTTTATATACGATATAAATTTACGATATTACATTACGATAATAAAATTTAATAAGGTTGAAGACTTTCAGTAGATTTATTTTAGTAAACTACGCAGCCTAGTTATTTTTAACCGTTTTCCTGAGATTTTCAGGAACATATTGAAGTTAACGATAATGAATTAAACGGTGCACATGGTGTTGTATAAATTTTTTTCCAATTTAGATTTAATTACAACGAAACAATAGTTTATTAGCAGAATTGAAGTACACTTCGTTTACGGTATTCAATTTAAAAAATATAAATTTACTATGAAAGTCTAACGATATTAAATAAACGTAATTGTTTTTGGATTAGGGTCGTAAATAATGTGGTGCTGATTGATCAGCAGAATTGCAGCATTTTTCCATATACGATATTAAGTTTGTGATACAACTTTTGCGGCACTCAATTTATCATCAGTTATATTCAGCTTTGTACCACTCTTTGTTATCGGAAAAAGTGAAAAAAAAACAAAGTAATAATCCCATCTCATCAGTTTTTCTTCAGACTTTAGCTGCAGAAAGAAAAAATTGTGATGAGGAGACGTGATTGCCTCTGATATATAGCAATAATTCAGTTAATACGTTACAATAAGAACAAAAAGGGATTTCGATTTGATCTATGATATGAATTCTATCATGTTTGATCTACGGTATAAGGTTTATGATAAAAATTTAAGGTATTATATTTACGATATTGATTTGCGATATTTCCATTTTTTACTTTGAAGCTATTAAGAAGCAATAATGATTCGTTTGCTAATCTCCTCTCTGTAAAAATAGTAAGTCTAAAAATATTTGGCTTTTGCCCTTTTTGGCACAAAACAATTGCCGCTGAAATTATGTAGGTTATGGTGCCACAAAAATAAGAAAAAAGGCGCTCGATTTATTTACGATATAGGATTTACGATATTCAATTTACGATATTATTTTTTAGTTAAAGCTATTTATGAAGCTGTGCTGATTCAGTTGCAAGCTTAAATAAAATGAATCACTTTGCTAAACTTAAATCTTTTAGGAAGCTTTAAGTCGAATCATATGAGGGTTTGCGCTTTTTACCTATTAACTAATTATAATTATTATTCTGAAATACTTTTTAATTAAAATTAGCTAGTACAAATATGTTCACTTTCTTTCACAATACGAAACGAAAAATATTTGCAGTCCATTTGTCGGTGCTAGAATTTACGATATGGTATATTTATTTTTTATACATTTTTCATTTCTTTCTTTCACATTTATTTCACAGGATCACTTCATTTAAAATTTCTACTTATATTTTTATTTTTAAACATTATCCTTTTTTATTGCCCACCTTCATGTTGCTTTTTATTGTCGTTTGGNTTGGGTGATCTTTTATACGTTTTAATTAGCATTTCGCTACCGTTTCAGAAACGATATGTCTATGTACACTTGACTTCTAGCCTGCGGTAACATAGAAGTATTTTTTATCTGGCTCCATACAAGTTGACCATTGCAAAATCGTACATTATACAATATGTAAACCATTTATTATAAAAATAGCACAACAAAAAATACTTTGATCCAATTCCAGTTTTGCGTTTCAATGGCTAATGAATATCAAATCAATGGCAGTTGTGATCGAATGAACAGAAAATACCTACATAAATGGACTGCTGATAAAATACTAGGTGACGCGGAAATTGTCTTTATGTCGTCTTAAAGCGGCACCACATGTGTACCTACGAGTATGCAGATACTTAGATCTTGTCCACCAACGCCATTTATAAAAAGTAACATACCCTGAAGGTATTCAGCGCGCCCGTAGCGCGACCAAGCGAATGGAAATATGTAGCTTCAAAGGCATTACAATGCAGCGCAAGTTCGGGGTCGTCCATATTTGAAAAAGTACTTAAAAGATTTAGAAATTTCTTTGGTTGTACGAGGGCACACACACATACATACATACATACATACATACATACATTGCTTGTGAACGCGACAGAGTAGGTGGTTGGTTACCTTCGGTTAGCGGTCTCGATTGATAAGTACCAAAGTGGATTTGAACACCTTCACCACCACACGTGTGCCCATATTCTGAAGTTAATGAAAAAAAATAAAAAATGTATGTCTTTAGAATCAACCTGATTTTGTACGCTGTTAGAATTACCGATACTTTGTGGTCGCATTTACTTGTATAATTTTTTGCCTTTAATATGCCAATTCTTGTAAGATCACTTTCCGTTTCAAAAAACGTCAAAGTCAATAGTTGTTTTTTATGTAATAATTCAAGTGCGGCAAGAATTCGATACGCTTGTTGACAGCGCACAGACAGGCAGACAAAGTGACAAGAGGAGAAAAAACATATGTATGTACATACATTTTATATAAGCGTACGAACCTCGATCTATTAAAAATCCAAGTAAATACTTGGACATGAAACGAAGTGTTTGCGCAGACAGACGTACAAGTTAAGTACTAGACAACAAACAAGATATTTCAACGCTGTATTTCTAATATATAAATATATATATTTTTTTTTAATTACAGAAAAATATGAGAGCGTTATGTCAACTTAGCTGACATACAACTCTTAAGCTTTGGCATTTTTGACAAATAAATCAAGTTAAGCGTCAAATCATGTTTTTCATATGGATTGATTGCGAAAATCAGCTGAGATAAGCTAATAACTTTGCTAATTTCCTGAAAGGTTTTTAAATAATATTTAATACTCTTGCAGATTTGAAAGATAGCGTAAGTCCTGTTTCTTCTTATTTGGCGCTGCAGCCGCCTAAACGATTTTGGCCGAGTTCAACAAAGTCCGCCTATCGTTTCTGTTCAGTTCCAACTGCCGCCAATTGGAAATTCCAAGTGCAGCCAAGTCCATATCCACCTGGTCTTTCCATCGCAGTGGGGCCTCCCTCTTCCTTTGTCATCACCAGCAGGTTTCGAGTTGAATACTTTCAATGCTGGAGTGTCGGTGTCCATTCGAATGACATGGCCAAGCCAGCGGAACGGCTGTATTTTAATTCACTGTCCATGTCGATGTAAAGCTCATACAGCTCATCGTTCCATTGTCTGCGGTACTCGTCGTCGCCAATGCGTAAAGGCCCGTAAATCTTTCTCTCGAATACTCTAAGAGCCGCCCCTTCGCATGTTGTTGTTGTCCATGCTTCTGCTCCATATACCAGCACGGGCATAATGAGTGACTTATAGAGAGTGGTTTTCGTACGTCGAGAAAGGATTTTACTTCTGAATTGCCATCTGAGTCCAAAGTAACACTGCGCTGGATTTCTACGCTCACATTATTATTGGTGTTAATGCTACTTCTCAAGTAAACTAAACTATCTACTTTCTCGAAATTATATAGTTGGTCTTTTCCTCGTTGACCACCAGACCCAATCGCTTTGGTTTTACATCTAATCTCGAGAAGGCAGAAGAACAGACGTAGCCATTTTATTTACCGATCATGTCGATGTCGGCGGTATACGTCAGATATTGCACGTTTTTGTAGTAAATTTTTCCAGAGCGGTTCAGTTCTGCGGCTCTTATATCTTCCCCAACATCAGATTAAAGAAATCACAAGAAAGTCGCTTTGACTTATACCCCGTTTGGTATCAAACGGCTCGGAGAGGACCCTCACAATTCTGGCGCAGCTGGTGGTTTTGCTCAGCGTCATTTTACATAGCCGTAACAGTTTCGCGGGGATACGAAATTCAGGCAGAGACGAACTCCTTGCCAATAAAGGGGTTACTACTTACATAACTATTCGACACCAGGTCGTAAAGGAACATATCGGAAGGAGAACGCTTATACACCGGCAAAAACCGGTGCAAGATAAAGTATCGCCCCGTGTGTATTGAACATGAAAAACAGGTTGCTTCAACGGTTGACTCGAGTTTAGTCAACATTTAATACACATGTTCGAAGTAAAAATTTTTTGCCCACCCAGCACCCTCTATTGAAGTTTCAATCTTTGTAACATTTCAGCATTTTTTTTACGCATCAAATTTTTCATAAATTTTTTCAAAACAAAAGTAGATGTAAAACTTTCTTATATAGCGAATTCTTTGTAAATAAAACTTTTTTATATAAAACGTGTCCTTCTGCAAACAAAAATTCGACGCGTTAGTATTTTGTGCCATCGCCAAAAAAAAGAGTATATATTTGTGGTGTTAAAATGCATTAGTCTGCTAGTGGCAATTGTTATTGTTGCTTAGTATTGTGTGCAATCATAGCTGAAGCCAAAAATCAAGAGACCAAGGCAAAATGGCGCGTTTAGTATTCGCCGAAAAGCTGACCAAATCAAAAAAACGATACCGGGTGCGTATAAACAGTTTCACACACGCACTCAATCCTACTTGCACACTCCACGTTTAGCACCAACAGGCTGACAAAGGATAATCAATTTTTTATTTAATAAATTTGGCGTCTAGGCAACTTTTGTGAGTTGAATTATTCCTTTTGACAGTCTTAGTTAAATTATCCTTTGTATACAAAACACAACACGCACGCACACACGCACGCATAATGTCACACAGCTATTCGGTTTCGGCAACTATCCCCGTCCATCTCATTTACAGACACGTACCAAAGGATGGCGCGGTGTGAGCCTGCTGTTAGAGCCCTCCACAAAGAACTGGTGGGAAGATCCCGATGTCGTGGTTGCGTGAGTATACATATTTGCTTTTAATAGTTGATTTTTTTCCGCTTGCTAGTGCGTGAGTCCATATGGGCTAAAAAGTGCGTGAGTGGGTAATATATTTGCGTGCCATTAACGGCCGGATGTGGTGATTGCTTTCGTGCTTTGTCGTTGGCTGGCGTGCGATAGGTTAATTTCAATTGATTTCACATCGAATTTGCCTTTTTCAATTTTTCAACAAAAATATTCAATGAAAATGCAAATTACCGTGAGTGTCAGAAGAATGTAAATGCCTTAGCAAAATAGAGCATTTCTTGCACGAAAATAATAAAACAATAGGGGTATTCGGTCAGTTAATGCGAAATGCATTGCAATGGTGCGAAATTGCAAAATTTTATCAACAACAACACAGCCGCAAATCTCGCATCGGTCATTGCATTTCACTCTGTGACCCAACCATAAGCAAATGCAATGACTGATGCGAGATTTTCGGCTGTGTTGTTGTTGATAAAATTTTGCAATTGCATTTCGTATTGACGCCTGAATACCCCTAATACGATCTTAAAGGGTTTAAGCCTTAGCCTAGCCAAAGCAGACAGCTGGAAAGAAATTGCTTAGATGATTTCACCTTTGAAACTCCATTAACCGCCCGCATTCGCTGAGCCTACCAAAATTCCGCCACAGATTACCACAAGAACTCCCACATCCCCCTTGTATGGTAGGTATCATTGAGAGTGCGCCGTCTAACAAATTCACCACCCTTTTCAATTGTTTGTAATGCCGTTGTGAGAGAGAGGTTAGACCTTTCCTGCCCATTTTCACTTGCACCTTGAAAAATCATAAAGACCTCATATCCGCTTGGCTTTCCGAGTATATATTTACGCTAACAATCGGTATAAGGCGTAACCTGCCTGTAGTCGGCTGTCCCTTTTATTCCGTCTAACTTCAAACCTTCCGCGTAAATCTTTACTAGGCCTCTGTCTTACGGGCTCCTTTCTTCAACTCACTCTTAGATAGATTGTGTGTAGAAATTTATCTTTTCGTTACCACCTTCGAAACGCACCGAAAAGTTTCCTCAGACATGAAATCAAAGCTTCCGAAACCGTGGAGTGCCTTTAGGCCTGGCTATAGGATAACCAAGCCTTGCCTTTCATGGTTTAAGTGCTAAAATTTAACTTAAATTTTTTTACACAACAAATCTTCATTATAAAAAATTTAGAGCCGCAACCAAAAACCTAACGATTTTATTACACTTTTCGAAAGGCCCTGGGTCACTCCAAATCAAATCTACCAATCGTTCGATTCGAGCATTTTTGATTTGGATGAATTTTGGGTAGAACTTTTCTTTAATCATATAACGAACTTCTGGAAAAGGAAAAAAATCGAAATTTAACGAGTAATTTTAAAGCAAAAACAAAACCGANTACAGGGAACTATTAGACCCCCATCTACCTCCCATATTTTCCTTAATGCTGAACTCCGGGGTTAGCAATCTAAAGCCCACCCTTCAATTCTCATATACAAATTTAAGAGTACCGTTAATTTCTTCATGATCCACATCAGTTTGGGACCACCTGTGAGGTACCAACTTTCCTCTAAAAAAAGAATTATAGAAATCGGTTAACGTGATCAAAGTTTATGCGGTAACATATATAAAAATAAAAACAAAAATATTCCTACGAATTGATAACCTCATCCTTTTTTGAAGTCCGTAAAAATTTCACA